TAAATAAAATTTAAATAATTAACATTTACTTAACAGTTAATACGCTTTCTATAAACAAAAAAACACACAGATCCAAAGTGACCACTCAGTCTATTCGGCAGAGGTAATATGCAATGATTCACATCCACTGCCTTCGAGCCTTCATTTCTGCAAATTTATCAATTACTTCATCAAAGCCAATCTTCCTTGCATATTCATGCTCAATTGAAAGTATAGCCAGATTTGTCAACCTTGTCTCACTCATGGTTGAGTGAAAGAAATTTTTTATCAATTTTAATTTGGAAAAACTTCTTTCACATGAAGCAATAGACACACAGAGAGTCAAAAAGAATCTTAAACACAGTGACAAATTTGGCAGAGATTCTCAATAATCCCATTTAACAATGAACTCCAGGAACTGCAATGCCGTCCATTTCTTTGCTTCTTCAACACTGATCTTGGCAGCTTCCAAATGCCTCCAAAGAAGTTCAATTTCCTTAAAGATGTCTTCATTAGAGAATTCGTCAAAAATCTCAGTCAATTTTGGAGTATAATTACGAATATCTTTCTCTGTTGCCACAACCAGAGAACTTGGCTGAATAACAGCAAACATTGAAAGGATTTTTTCAATTGCCTGAGAATGAATTTCCAACTCGTGATGAAAACGATCAAGGCACTCAAACATAGCCCTTTTCATTTCCTCTGGCAATGTGAGACCAGTGTCCTTTGCCTTCTCTCCTGGCATTGTTTTACGGAGCTTTACTCTCCCTCTTCTTTCCATTGAAATGTCCATTTCTTTACACATAGTAGTTGCATAACAAATGGCCTTCTCCACAATTTCACTGCACTGATCTGCTAGAAACGCTTTCAAACCTTGTAGTTTCACAATGCACTGAGTGAGTCCCACAGTTTGCAAATATTTCTGTGTTATATTAACTTCTTCTAGAACTTCACACCAGAAAAAGAAAGGTAACACAAAAAAGAAAAATCACATATGGCAGACAGCAACATCTGAGCCGATCCTCTTGTGTCCACATTTTCTTTGGGATTACATAACTTTTCAAAGGCTGAAGTCAGTTTTTCAAAATTTGCCCTCACTGGCTTCACAGCATCATAATGAGCGCTCCATCTTGTTTGGGAAAGTCTTTTCACTGTCACAACTACATTTTCCATCAGCAATTCCCAACAATGTGTAGAAACCGAAAAAAAGGAATACACTGTCTCCAATGTTCCAAAAAAGGTCACACAGGAAACAACACTTCCAAATGAGTGCATCCCACATAGGTTCAGGGAATGGTTAGCACATGGCATAAACAAAGCCTTGGGATTAATCTCTTTTATTTTTGCCTGAACACCACCATGAATCCCTGCCATAGTTGCAGCATTATCATATCCTTGACCACGGCAAAGGCTTATGTCTAGTCCATCTTCCTCCAGATGTTGCAGGATATTTTCTGTGAGCTCAGCAGCAGTCTTTTCAGCAACAGGAAAGAACCCCAAGAATGATTCCTTTACTTCAACATGGTCCCCTTCAATATGAACATATCTGATCACTTCACACATCTGATCAGTGTGGGACACATCAGGGGTGCTGTCAAAAAGAATCCCAAAGTACTTTGCTTTCTTGATATCAGCCACTATTTTGTCCTTCACATGATTTCCCAAAAGACAAATTAATTCGTTCTGAATTTTTGGAGAGGAATAGGAAGTCATTCTCTTTCCAGATGCAACAGCATGTTTGAGCCTCATGAAATGTTCCTTTAAAATGGGATCATAGTTTGAGAGCAATTCTACCAATTCAAGGAAGTTGCCTTTGTTTGCGGATGACATGGTCTCTCTATGACCACGAAAGGGAAGATTCTGGTGAGCCAGAAACAAAGTTACATCCAAAAGGCGATGCAAAATATCCCTCCATTTCCTTTTCTCTCTGTCCACTGTTGTTTGATGGACATGATCAATGCATTTTTGTAGCTTCAATCCTGCTCTCAAGGTCTTCCATTTCTCCAAGTATGTAAGATGCTGCTCAGAAGCCTCATGATCAGACACCTTTGGGTTCAGCTTCCACCACAATTGAAACCCAGTAACAAAACTGGATGTCCCTGTTACTTTGTCATCAACAGCAAAAAGTCTGCAGCAAAAACAAAACAAACTTTGTTTTGATGGAGAGTACACCATCCACGTTCTAAGAATTTTTTCGCCATTAGGCAGAGCCTTATAGAACCATGCAGTGGTCAACTGTCGACTCTTCCCTTTTGATTTCTCTCCTTGCCTTTCAACAGGACTGAATGGCCCATCTCTATTTTGGAAAGGTTCACTTCCCCTCTTAATAAGGTCCACTCTTAAAACATCTGGAACTGGAACTGGCCAAGCAGCAACATCAGAATAAACTGACAGTCGAATAGTCTCCTCTTCTTCTTCATCATCATCATCATCATCATCATCATCAGAGTCTTGCTGATGCAGGCTTCTGCTGGCATCGCCTTCATCTACATCACTTTCACCGCTTGAAGATAAAATGATCTTCTCCAATTCTTGCGCATTCCCATATGAAGCTTCTTGAGAAGATACTTCAGGCATTTCACCTCTGGATTCAACAGACTCAATGTCTTCAGCGCTTTCTCCTACTGCGGTAGATGTTGAAGGTGCAACATATTTTAAAATTGATCCAGACATCGCCTCAACTGACTTTTCTTTTGCCTTCTTAATTTTTCGTTGCTGAGACCCGCTTGGTCTATTTCGCTTCATATTGGTGTTTTCTGCAGAAAAATACTAAATTTATTTTGGCTCTAGGGTTTGCTAGTGCGATATCTGTCTTATATTTCCCATCTTGGCATACCATTTGTAAAAGTAGACAACCAAGGGTATTTAAAGGAACACTATAGTCACCCAGACCACTTCAGCTCAATGAAGTGGTCTGGGTGCCAGCTCCCCCAGATTTTAACCCTCCAGATGCAAAAATCGCATCCAGCTTGCAGAACGTCCATAGGAAAGCATTGAGAAAGGCCACTCGGGAGCTGATGTCGGCGGGGGAGGAGAGTTCACCAGTGCCGAGGGAGCCCGGCACTGGATTAAGATAAATGGCTGAAGGGGTTTTAACCCCTTTAAACCCATTCAGCCACTTACCTTTCTCCAGCGTCGGGCTCCCTCGGCGCTGGTGACCTCTCCTCCCCCTGCCGACGGCAGATCTGAATGCACATGCGCGGCAAGAGCCGCGTGCGCATTCAAACTGCCCTTAGGAAAGCATTACTCAGTGCTTTCCTATGGACGTCCAGCGTCTTCTCACAGTGAGTTTTCAGTGAGAATTGCGGAAGCGCCTCTAGCGGCTGTCACTGAGACAGCCACTCGAGGCTGGATTAACCCTCAGTGAAACATCTCTGAAACTGCTATGTTTTCAGCATCAGGGTTAAAACTAGAGGGACCTGGCACCCAGACCACTTCATTGAGCCGATCCTTAGAAACAGCATAGGAAAAGGATTTGGGTTCAAAAGATGTAGCAGCTAGGGCAGAGGTTTTGTAGAAGGGGGCCAGGGCAGAAGTTTTGTATAAATGTGCCAGTTTTGTAGAAGGGGGAAGACCAGTGCTTTTGTAGAAAGGGGCAGGTGAGAAAATTCTAGAAAACGCCTGCTCTGCCCCTTTCTACAAAGCCCCTTGTCTCGCCCCTTCTAGAAAACCCCTTCCCTTCGGCCTTCATATAAAAATCCTGCACACTGACAACATAAATTTCATACACTCCCTTCACATAAAAACCCTGCACACCCCCTTAATTTAAAAAAAACAAACAAAAGCACTGCACACCCCCTTAATAAAAAACAGAAACCATGCACAACCCCCTTAATAAAAAACACTGCACACCCACCTTAATAAAAAAACCCTGCACACCCCCTTAATAAAAAAAAAAACTTGCACAACCCCCTTTGATAACAAAAAACCTGCACACCCCCCTTAAAATCCTGCACACCCCCTTAACAAAAATCTGCAGTGCACATCCTCCCTTAATAAATAAAATACTGCAACCCCATTAATTAAAAAAAACCTGCACCCCCATTAATTAAACCTACCCCCTTAAATAAACCTTCCCGCGCTGCAACCCCCTTTAATTAATCCACACCCCCCTTTATTTAATCCACCCCCTTAATCCACACCCCCCTTAATTAATCCACACTCTTTAATTAATCCATACCCCTTAATTAATCCACACTAATTAATCCACCCCCTTAATTGATACACACACCCTTAATTAATCCACACTAATTAATCCACCCCCCCTAATTAATACTGCCCCCATAATTAATACACCCCCCATAATTAATATACACCCCCCATAATTAATACACCCCCATAATTAATATACACCCCCCATAATTAATCCACACCCCCCATAATTAATACACTGGACAAATTTATTTTATAAATGTTTTTTTTTTTCAATTTATATTATATGTTTAAAGGCCAAAGGCTTGTATTTGTGGGAGGAGTTAGCGTTCCTATAAAACATTACTCCCCCCTGCTTACCTTTGCCGTGGCGATCAGTTCAGGTTACCTTAACTTCCAGTTACGGCCTTAGTTTGAAGCTCCCGCCAGTTTCAACATCCTTCGCGTCTAACCGTTACCTCGCTCGCAGCAGTTTTTCACACGTAAGTTTGATAAACACGAACCTGCCTCATGTTTCAAACAACACGAACACTATCCAAGTAACAGATGAGAATAGCCGCATTCGGGCTATTCCCACAATCGGCCTATGCGTAGGGGTAGGCTCCCTACAGTTGTAAGTTCATCTAGGCCCCGTACAATATTGAAACAGCTGCACCCAGGACTCACAGCACACAACCCTGCAGGACTTGCCTAAGCAGAGGTAGCATTTCTGGATGGTCATTTCCACCTACCCTACCCCACATCCCACCCTCCCCATGGTACTCATTACATTTATAGATAACTCAAATTACCTAGCTTTCCTGACAAACCAATCATGTCCACCAAGCCCTCCACACCTAAAATAGCTAAGCTCACACAATAACCAGGGACGGACTGACAACTCACAGGGCCCTCGGGCAATAGGAGACCAAGGGCCCCCTTCTGGTGCAAAGTTTTTTTCCCCTGTGTTTGCTGGTGACATCACAAGCAGCATCCCCCACATTTGTTTTCAATCTTACAAGTCCATACAAGTAGCCTGCAAACGTTTGTAGGCGACTTGTGGGGTTCAGTGTGTGGGATGCTGCTTGTGATGTGTTCCTGTATGTCAACGTGTTGTGTAAAATGTTTTGCCTTTTACCTATTGTACTGCGCTGCAGAATATGTTTGTTCTATATAGATGGTTGTAATTATGGTGTGTGTGTGTGTGTGAGTGTTTGTGTAAGGAGGCTGTATGCAGTATTGCAATGGTAGAAATGCTGCCTGTGATAACTGTCCATAGGGAGGCTGTATGTTGTTTTCCATGTCTGGGGATGTTGCTTGTGGGATTGTGTGCATACAGTGAGACTTCTGGTGGATTTGAGTGTGTGAATGAGTCTGTTTGCAGTGTAGTATGTGAGTTGAGACAGCTGGTTTTGTTGCAGTGTGTGTGGTAGGGGCTGCAGTAGGCATCTGGGGGTTACTAGGGCTGTAGTGTGTGTTTTTATGGATAATAAATATTGAAAGGACTCTCCAGTGCCAGGAAAACAAACTGTTTTCCTGGCACTGCAGGTCCCCTCTCTCTCCCACCCCCCATCCCATGTTGCTGAAGGGGTTAAAGCCCCTTCAGTGAATTACCTGTATCCAGTGCCGATGTCCCTCAGCGCCGGGTCAGGATCTGCCCACGCTCCTCCCCCGCCGAGGAGACCGGCGGGGGAGACCAATTGAGCATGCGCGGCCAGGGAGACCTAATGCGCATGCATGGCAATGCCGCGCACGTGCATTAAACCTCCCCATAGGAAAGCATTGAATGCTTTCAATGCTTTCCTGTGGGGATTTCAGCGATGCTGGAGGTCCTCACATAGCATGAGGACGTCCAGCGATGTTATTCCACACTTTTCGTGTTCTATGAACACAGAAGTGTCTTCTAGTGGCTGTCTAGTAGTAACTTTCTGACAGTAGAACACCCCAATACCACACCACAGAGCATGTCAAAGACAGAAGCACTATTTTCCACATTAGGGGTATCGGTAGCTGCTGAGAAGACAGCAGGCCCCACTACTAATCTGACTTTTTTAGGGATATGCATAGACTTGGTGACAATGCAAGCGAGTCTCCCAGGTGACAAGGTTCAGAGAATCAATACAGAGGTCGAAGGGTTCCTCACTAGAGGGACAACTTCTCAAAAAGGCCTGCAGTCTCTTCTGGGTTCTCTGAACTTTGCAATGAGGATTATCCCACAAGGTCGAGCATTTATTTCAAGACTACTTAGTCTATTACCAAACATACCTCACAACAACAGTATCATTAAACTTGACTGACAAGGTAGGGCAGATTTGTCCATGTGGAGCCAATTCTTGACACACTGGAATGGGGTAAACCTATACATCCCACCTTTGACAGGGAACTCCCCAGTGTTATGTTGACATCGAGGCATCGCTGCAATACCATTAGAGCTGCTGGAAGCGATCATGATCACTCCCAGTGCTCTAATTACCTGCGAACATATCAGGTACGTCCGCGGTCCTTAAGGACTGTTTTTTGTCGGATGTACCTGATGCGTCCTTGGCCACTAAGGGGTTAAACATATAGCTGTTGAGGTCACAATAATCAAAGTATCGTCTCTCAGAATGCATGGAAATACTGTGACAAAGGCTGGATTAATAAAGTTGTACGTGTCTGCACACAAAGTCTCCTCACTCACTTAAGTTTGGAACTCAGTACTACAGTTCCCTAGTCATGGTTTAGTTTACTGGGCCGCCACTGCCAGGGTATGTTCCTGCAGCACTGGTCTCTGGTGTGACAATTCGAATCTTTATCTGAGATCATCGAGACCAACGATCTCAGTCAATCCAATGCTTTCACATATGAAAGTATAATGAGATTTCTGTGCATGCTGCGCAAAATGCAGTGCTGTGGCAGTCAGATGGTCTCTATAAGACAGTCTAATTGAAATAGTGGAATTTTAGACCATTATTTTAGCAGAGGCGCCTATAGTGGCTATTAGTATGACTGCCAGAAGGCGCAGGTTAAAATACGGGACATGGCACCCAGACCTCATCAGATGCAGTGGTCTGGTTGCCTATGGTATTAATTTAGTATAAAGCCTGCCCCTCTACCCATAAAAAATATATTTGATCCCTGTACAACTCAGTTCCTTTTAAACCACCATCTCCAACTTTCTCTGGGATTTAGAATTTAAAATAATGTAATGGCTGGTGGCTCAACCAATATAGTGCTTAATTATTTGCATTATACTTCAGGAGAAAATATGCAATTCAGATGTCAACAATCAGTGAGAAAGTCTTCTCTGTCCAAAGACTTGTGTGTTACTCAATTTGTGTATTGCCTTTAGGGTAATTCACTAACATACCTCCCATATTTCAAATGGACACTTTCATTTTAGAGGTCTGAGTGGGTGGGTGGCCAGGGGCATTGCTGATATGAGAAATTTTTACAGCAACTTATGCAATTAAAATGTATTTTAAAAGAAGAACAATGTATCTTATTTACACAGACTGATTTCTAAACTCATTGTACTCTCATTGTATTTTGTATTTTTATTAAATGGGGTTAAAATAGGAATCTCCCACAACCATAAAGCACGCCAGTAAGATCAAGTGCTTTATGGGTGTGGAGTGATCCTTTATAAACATATTAATGAGAATTTTATTGCTGTGGAGTTCTGGTATAATTTCAGACACACCAACAGCTCCTAGAAACAATAGCATAGAATAGGAAAGAGGGATTGTCCCTCCTAAATTGGGAGAGTTAGGAGTTACGCGCTGAAGTGAGAATTGTCAGAAATTCCAAGTGAATTCAGAGTTAAGTTCAAAATAGCCTAACTGGAAGCAATGCTGACTTTTCCAATTCAGCTTTTTTCCCTGATGTGCACTTTCCAGACAGACACACCCATTAGGGGTGTCACACGTGATGCTAAATGTGTACATGGTAAAGTTAATTTATTAATGATAAAATATAATCACTTTTTTTAACTCAACAGGCTCTCTAGTACTCATCAATTCACTGTGGCTTGGGCAAGGCATTATTAATTTTGCGTAATCAACACTACACATATATGTATTAAAGAAGAAAAAAAACCCTGAAAGAGTACAATATAGAATTATGCCATTATTTATTAAAATACTAACATAGGAGGAATTTGTGATAAATTGCATTGGCCTTTTCAATGGACAGAAGGCATTTTGTGATAAATGACAAGCAGCTGGGATTTGTTATTTTGGAGCATTCCTCTTTAATGCGAGAAAAGGTACAGAAATGTGGAGTTAAAAAAAAGGAGAATTAGACCAATGGTACCAGGTACTGTACCTTTCCAAATACATTTTTCGTGATCTTCATGCTGCACAAATGCTTTGCAAATATGCTTTCGTTTGTGCCACAAATGCTCCATCTGTGTAACATCTTAAAAGCTTCATTATAAATAGAGCACAAAATGGGAATTTTTTTTTCCTTTGGATATTTTTTCTGTGGTTATCAAACCATTAAAATCTAAACAAAATATATATATATAATGCACACCGATAATAAAAGCAAAATAAATAAATAAATAAAATACTCGTCATCAACACAGCCTGGGTGTTTTACAATAATTACCTGGAAAAGAACTGAAGGTTTGCTGCTTAGAGCAGGGAAGATGAAAGAGAGGGAGCATTAGAACTTTGGATGTCAGTGTGTAATGAAAAACAGATCCCACAATATTAAAGGCTGTCTGGCATATGTGTGGAAAGGCTGGCACTGAGCATAGTGTATACCCTTTAGTAGTAGTAGCAGCAAGCTCTCTTTCAACACTTGACTGCTGATTTGAAAAGTGGCAAGTGTCAGCCAATTTCTGATTTTAATTATAGGCTTGATATATTTGAAAATTGAAACTATTAATTTGTTCGGCTTGGCTTATTTGAAATCTTGTAGTTATTAGCAATATTGTCTATATTGCCTGCCTGTATTCCAAGGTTACCTTTCTGGTTAAGTTAAAATATTTTATCGTTAAGATGCATTTAAGAAATAAAAAAACATTAAAAAAAATTACAAAAAAAGTACTCCATCACAGCAGCATACCAACCTCCCAGCATTTCAAAAGGACAAAGTGGTACACTTTAATGGCCAAAACGCGGGGCTATTCTGAGAATTCTTAGGTGACTTAACCATAACCTTTTATACTATTAAAATGCAATTTGGAACAAGAGCGATTTATTGTAGTTTAAATGCACATTATTATATTATTGCTAGGGAACTCTGTACACACTGTATCCACGCAGACACCCCATCAAAATGGGGTTTCCAGGAAAGAAGACCATTAGGATATAAAAGAGAAACAGATTGATTTGGACTCAAATTAGGCACTGTCCTAAATGAATAAGGACCATTGGGAGGTATCATTAGGAATAAACAAATAATCAGTGTTGCAGACTGTATATTACAGAGTCCGGCGTGCTTCATACAAATGAGCATTTTCAATGCTTTTAAAACTTTAATAAAAGTGTTTGGTTCTCCTCTTGTAGGTAAATAGACCTGATCACATGACAATAATCCTAATTAACCCTTTCCCAGGATGGCTAAAATATTCATCATAAAAAGGTATGTAGTCAACAATTAGATCAGGATGCAAAATTACAGACAAATGTAGATTATACAACCTAGATAAAAACTAGGACAAATGTCATTTATCTAGCTTAAAATTAATATATATCACTCTCGGTATAACAAATTAGAAATATGAACGCAATCAAAACAAGAACTACATATAAAAAAAAAATATCGATTGATTCTAACAAAAAATAAATATAAACATGATAAAAATAAATACTTGGAAAACCAGGATTAATAAAGTGATTGAAAGCAGTTTGATCAAGAAGATCATTTGTTTTACATTCTGTTTATCACAGATATAATTATTTAATAAACAACAAAATTAAATGAATTGAAAACTAAATTGATACATTTAATCACAGCCTTGACTACAGCACTGTAATAAAAAGTGTCTTCATCAGTGGTTCCCAAACTTTTTAGATTCAAGGCGCTCTTAATATTTAAATATTTTTCCAAGGCACTCCAAGTTAAAATTTATAGGTTGTATATCTGTAAAGCGCTGCGGCATTTACTGGCACTATAGTGTAATGTACAGTGTTGGTGTTTAAAGGGATGATTGTATATAGTTTTAGTGTTTTAACACAGGGGTGTTTGTATGTAATGTTTGATTGCAGGGACGTGTTTGAATGTAATGTTCTTTTAAATGCGGATATATATACATTAGTGTGAAGTATTTGTGTTTGAGTGAA